ATCACATTTTTAAGCAAACACCTATGTGCAACTTTTATGTAACTAATGTAAGTAAAATTTTTAATACGTTACATTTTTTGCTACAGATCTTAGGCTAAGAACAGTCTCACAGATACTTTTCCAAAACCGCACTTTTCACACTTTTTTCAGGGATTTCTTGAAGTTGAAGGTAGTGAAAATATGATTTCCTAACTTACTTTACGCTATCTACCCAGGGTGCTGAGGGTGGATGCAGCGTTGCCAATGTATGGGTTTTTGAGCCTAAGTGGCGCCGGGTAATTTTAAGATGCGTTGCTGAGTAATTTTTAATGAAAAGCCATTTACGCTGAGTAATGAAAAACTATTTACAAGCCACGAACTTATTTACAAGGTTGCATGCACGTGTTACCCCATATAACTCATTTTACCCTAAAAACAGTCTGATTGTACAGCAAGTGTCAACTGAACATTTGATAATGCAGTCTGACTGCCCTAATGTGACCGCAACCAGTGTGGAATTCTGTATAGGTAATATATTTTCATGTCAATATAAGAAAATGTATCGAAATACCAACCCTACCACCGGGTTACACCACCTTTCACTGCAATGAAAATTGATAAACTGAGCTCATTAGAAACTGCAGTGTTTCTGAAATCGCGCATGGTTTGAAATCCAATCCCGTGTTGCCAACGACTAATCAAGTTAACTAGTCGTTCATCTGTAGGCTAGCGGACACATTTTTGCAATGAATACATTCTAAAATAAAAAAAACACATCCAGCTTCGTAAAAAATTCTCACGATTGGACAACACCAACAAAGTTTTTGATATCACACAAAATTATGAGATAAACTGCTACCTTTTCACTGCGTAGGTTCACATTGTGTTTTCTGTTTACGTATTACAAGACGGTGTCAAACGCTTCTGTTTTGGTTGTATCTAGTTTGATTTCACAATAAATATTTGCCCTATTATGTTGAATTTATCTTAATAAATTCACTTCAAATTCTGAATGATTTTCTCTGCCAGCCCGTGTTTTCGGACTTTTGTGTCTTTTAAAAATTTTTTTGTTGTTTAACATGGGAAACTCTTTCATTATATAAAACATAGAGCACGTACCATATAGTTCATTAATAATACAATTTAATTCAGTAAAAATTAATTTTTAACTTAAAAAACATAATCAGATTTTTAATTCAACATTTTTCTAATAGAATTTAATTCTACAGCATGTACCATCTAGTGTATTAAATAATAAATTTTGATTTAGTAAAATTTTATTTTATTTAACTTTTTAATTTAATTTAATTCTACAGCTTCAACTGGTAAAAATGAGCATCATAGGAATCAAAGTAAAACTGTCATTCATACATCACAAATTGAATGACATTGGATGAATTTGATATGTATTTTATTAATTCTGTTTATATATAAGAACGGAAATGACGCTTCTATTTCAGAATGATAATGGAAATGTTTCTACTATTTCAAAAACTTTTCTTGAATACACTTCCAAAAACTAAAGTTCTGTAATCAATGGAGTCTGAAATGACAAAATCATTCAATTTAAAATTTTTAGCTATAAGAGTAAGATCATCATTTGTCAATATGAGGAGCATTCATTTGTCATTCCTGAGGAGCTGTAAGAAAAAATTCATTGTTTTTTATGTAAAATGATGTTTTTCAATTAAAAGAAATGCAATCATTGATTTTTGGAAATACGATGTTAAAATTAACGATCCGTATTAGAATTCATAGAATTCAAAAGACGTTACGACTTACGATTTCAGAATTATCTTCAAAAAGTTTGTTGTCGTTCGCTTGATCAGAAGTTTTCGTTCGTTTGATCAGAAGTTTTCATTCGTTTGATCAGAAGTTTTTGTTCGTTTGATCAGAAGTTTTCATTCGTTTGATCAGAAGTTTTCGTTCGTTTGATCAGAAGTTTTCGTTCATTTGATCTTCGGTTCCACTTCTGGCTGCTCGGATTTGAGAATTTTGGAGTCTCTACATATCTTCAAACGAAAACCATGTCTCAATAATGCGTTTAGCTCATATAATCTGGAAATAGTAAATCGCTAGGATTTATATTCTTGTCGTACCCCTAGGACTAAGTTGTTCATAACTAGTCCTGTTTATTTCGATATAATGTTAGGTCTTGTTTAGGTTTTATGTCTGTCTTTAAATTTTGACTTTTAAAGTGATTTTATTCATTTTTAGTTTAGTCGAACTGATGATGGAGCTGGACTCCGAAACGTTTTCAATATCGATATGGTGAACTTTCTTGGCGTTTTCTTTGCTTTTAAATTCCTTGCTGTGGTGACATCGCCATTAGCTGTGTAAATTCTGCAATATCAAGAATTTGCAACAGGCAAAACATGACCAAATCCGAGATGCTGACGCTTATTATATTAAAGTAAACAACATTGCTCCCAAATAATATTGTATGTGGCGGCAACAGCGGTCTGACCAATAGCTAAAAGATCAAGATGAACGGCGTCTGGTCTGAGATGCATATGGTATATTTCCAGTAAAGGATTCTTCCTTGCCAACTCTTCCTTCAAGTCTGGAAGAGTTGTCAAAGGCTGGAATATTGAATTTGAATCTCTTGAGAAGTGATGCACGAGTGCTGATGACACTGAGAAGCCCAGCACGCGGTGAACATGAGATGCATTGAATACCGCGAAGATTTTGTATTTTCTGAGTGGTATCAGCGTGTATTATTTGGCCATTACCTCTTTCGCCTAATCTGAACAACGCGAAATTTCACAGCTTGCTACGGGTCTCAAACCAGCAACTCACTGCTCCAGTATCCGGTGTTAAACCACCTGGCCACCTCACGGATCTTGACCAGAACTGTTACAGGAAGCTAGAATCAAACCCACAACTCACTGCTACAACAGTATTAGTTACAATATATATAGTTAATTAGAACAATGCCTTTTCAAAAACAATTAATAAATGCCATTTTGTGGTAGGAAAATTCCTTACAAGGTTATTGATACAATAAGGATTCAGCAGTGATGACTCAAACAGGGTTTAAATTAACGACACAATTAGGATCTAAAAGAAATGGAGAAAAATAGTTTACATTATAAATATAATCAGGACTTGAAAGAAATAAAATGAAATTTGACCTTTTATACACACGTTGGATTGAAAAGAAATGGAGGACGACATTGGACATTAATTGGGATTTAAAGAAGCTGGAAAATACAATTTTATTTTAAATTACCTAGAATAGTTACAGCTGGAATATATACTCAGTAAATTGAAAATGTTATTAAGAATCTCTACAGTATCTGTTGTACGTACTGTACTAGGTAAATACTGCATTGTATTTACCCTGATATTTGTGGCAAATTCCAGCACAATACTGCACTCAACTTGAGCATTTATAGTCAAATTTATGACATTGACAAAACTTGAACAATTCCAAATTTGATTCTCTTGCCTATTTAATAAGTAATGTTTAAAATATTAAATAATAACCAAATAACCAGGACACAGAGATGCAGCAGTAAATGAAAAAAAAAACATTCAAATGAAGATGAAAATGTCCTAATGAAAATATTAGTTTTTACATGGAGATTATTTTTATAAGAAATGTGCAGCTTTAAATTAAATACAAGGTCTAATAATAAGCATTTTAGTCATAGACATGAAACTGTGGCTTCAAGTAAAAAACTTGGCTTAATTATAAAGATATAAAGTCTTAGATATGATGATACAGTTGAAAAAATAAATGGCTTAAGAGAATAAACCAAGGGGTGATAATAATAGGTAATATTACATTCTTTAGTCTATTCTCGAAAAAATAATTGTCGAGTATACATGTAAATAATTATCCCACACAATTATTGCATTAGAAGAATTAGAAAAAGTTAAAATTTACACTAAGGATGCCACCCATGCAGAAAAAAGTAGGATCTATAATTGGACAAGATGACTTGGACCTTTTTGACAATAAGAAATGAACCTGTAACTCAAGAACTTCTTGCTTCAGAGAAATTGTGTTGATGGCTCATAAAATACCACAAGATCACCTACAATGACAATATAGAGATATATTTTATATATTTACTAAGTGATTATTGCATCACAAAGAAGTAAGCACTAAAAATGGTCCAAGTCACCCATGGCAGTCAAGTTAGAATTCCCCCACATTCTCCCCTATGAAAGTTTAGCTCATTCACTCCAGGGCAACTTTACAGATGTCTACAAATACAATCTGGTGGAAGCAAGCATTTCAGTTGCATTGTTGTTGTACTATCAATAAAAATCCCAGATACAGACAGTATAACTCAATGAAGAACATGATAGAACTAGTGAGCAGTCAAAAATTTCATTATTGATTAATTTAATGATTAATTATTATTACAATTGTCACAATAGCAATAATCACTTTCTGCTCAAAGGCATTCTGGTTCACTAATCCACAACATGGATATTATTTAATAAAGTAAGCACTGCCTTCAAGCACTTGTTTTTAATGTAGAATGGTTAAAAAACAATGGATGAACTTCTCTCAAGAAAATGATATCAATAAATAAAGTGACTGAACATCTCTCAAATGTTTGCTAGGATAAGGTAATTGGGTTCCTCTTCAAACACAAGACTGTGGCTGACGCAATATCTGCTGTCCAAGGAGATGACATGAACCAGCTCAGACCTTGAGGAACATTAAAGCAAAAAAAGGACATATTTTTTACAACACTTTTCCTTAACTTTACTTATTGTTGTTTGTTTGTTTGTCTGCTACAAATTTATATAACACTTATATATTATATAACACTCAGCATTTATATAACACACTTCTACTGGTTTAATTGATATGAAATTTTGCACACTTGCGTAAAGTTGGGGACAATCCATGAATCGATTGACAGAATAAATAATTGTAAAAAATTTAATTTTTTCTTATAATAAAGAAAAATTTTATAAAATAATTTTTTTTCTTTCAAATATTCGAGAATAAAATAAGAAATTCATAGTACACATGTAACATCAGAGACACTGGCCTCTTTAGAAGTGTTGTCTTTAAAAGTATTTTTTGAATGAATATTAATACAAGATAAAATCTCATGTATTTTATCATAAGTACAATATCTTAGCCATATTATAATCTTCCAAATCCAGGAGTAGATGTTATCTCTAGCTATGTAAGCCTAAAATTTACATTAAGAAATCATTATCAAAAACCTCATCTATGTTCAACCTAGTAAATGTTATTTCAATCTGGCAACTTTAAATAAGTAGCCTACAAATGGAGGCTACTATTGTTGCCACTAAGAAGTTTATTATTGGAGAGGCCCTTCCCCCAACTGAGTAATGAAAATGACTAAGTACTTGAATCAAATAATCTTGAAAATTTCAATGTATTGAACTAAGTACCAATTATAAGAGCAGAAAAATTGATTTGCTTCACTCACATTATCTCATCTAAATAAGATTCTATTTAAAATTAAAAATTCGGGCACAAAATGAGAAGGCCGACCAGATTACAGAGCATCAAGACCTTGATTTCTTGACATGGAAGGTGCATAGTTTGCAAGTTTCATTCAAATTTTTATTGTGGCATTGCAAATAAACTCAATATGGAATACTTCAACCAAACAACTGCCATAAATCTGTACACATTTCATCTGATATTTATCAGCTGCAACCAATACACACGAACTGAATTCAACAAAACCCCCTCAACAAAGTTTAGATTGGATTGTCAGCAGACATAGTAGCAGTACTTGTACTATTAGATTTTTCATAATCCAGAACATGTTTGGATTTCAGGTGCTTTGTTAGATACCGTTTCTTACCCGTGACATAATCGCAAAACTCACATGGGAATCCCTTCCCTAAACCATGTATATAAAACATGTGGCTATCAAGGCAATCTTTTCTGCAGTTGACATAATCACACTGCTTGCATTGAAATCCTTTACCCAGACCGTGCTTAGAAAACATGTGCTCATTTAAACGAGATTTATCACATGCAGAATAATCACATAGCTTGCATTTTAAGCCTCCCAAACCATGCTTTGAGGAAAGGTGCCTGCTGAGAATAACTTTACTACTAGCAGCATAATCACACAACTTACATTTGAATCCTTGCCCCAAACCATGTTCTGCAAACAGATGATGTTGTAAACTTTGTTTTTGAGCAGTAACATAGTCACAAAGATCACAATGAAATCCTTGCCCCAAACCATGTTTTGCAAACAGGTGATGTTGGAAATTGCCTTTTCGAGTAGTAACATAGTCACACAGATCACATTTTACTCTCTTCCCTAAACCATGTTTAGAGAACATGTGAATTTCGAGACGTTCATGTCTGTCAGTTTCATAATTACACAACTTGCATTTGGCTCCTTCCCCCAGACCATGTCTTGAAAACAAGTGCCTATGGAGATTTTGGTTATTAGCCGTGGCATGGTCACATAACTTGCATTTGAATCCTTCCCCTAAACCATGTTTAGAAAACAAATGCCTACGGAGACTTTGTTTCCTAGCTGTTACATAGTTGCATAACTTGCATTTAAATTTAGATCCAAAATCAATTTTGTTCAACTGGTGGGCATTAAAAGGAACTTTAGAATGGGATGAATCAGTCGATGAGGAAACTTTATGCAATTCCTCCGCTAATCTTACCTTGTCTTTGTTGGACAAGTTTGACTCAAAAGACTTGAACTCAGCCACAGGCTGATCAAAGAGAACTTCCTGGACTAAAGCTGCTCTATTGGGCACTGGGGAAATATTTTTCTCAGCAACAGAAATATTTTTTTCCTTGTTTTCAGGAGAAACTGCCATCCACTCATCCTGTCCAATGTTGCTCTGGACATTGCAAGGCAAGACATCCTGGAGACGGAGAGCAGATTCTTGTGAGCAATTCTTTCAAATCAGGCAATGAACTCAAGTCATAAAATTATTGCAGTGTTCAAACTTATATTAGATAAAATTATCATTGTCTTCTACACTTTTTCATGTAGACAGAATTCACAAAAAGAATTATATCAATTTTGTACATTAGAACATTTCTGATAAAAGCAAAAATCATCTTGGCAATAGAAATAGATATGACATCAGGGCACAGAACTTCTGTTAATGCAAGTCCATAAACAATGTCTCAAGTCGTGCCTGATGTATATACATCTTTTACAGAACAATGACATTTTGGATACCTGATATGGGGATTATATAGAAAGAATTCATCTGTAAAATATACAGAAAGAAAGTGTGAATTCATATCCATTTCCAACATAGAAATACCTACCCAACTCTAATTTATTTATACAGAACAAAAAAAAAACTGAAAAACAAGATACCAGTATACAAGAAATAAACACCATTGCAGCATACATTACCAGAGAAGGTATATATTGCCACAGAAGTTCTGTTCATTTCAAACCTTCAATAGAATACTAACAACAAGCTTAGATTAAACAGACAGATATTTGATCAGAAAATGAGTCAAAAACTTTGGATGGGAGAACAAAGGATTGAGAATATAAATTGTTCAACAAATGATAAATGTATTAAAAATAGGAGCTGAAGAGATGAGATATTTACAGTACAGCCAATGCAGACAGATCATCAGCTATCATCAACATTTGAATTCCTCAGCAATTTATTTGTACTGAGAAACCAGCTCTACCAACCTGCTTATGAGGCACTGCAGCATTGTACTGTGAGGCGCTGGTGCAGGCCTCGTGAGCCTCAACTTGAACCTCTTTCTTGCATGGCTCGCAAGATGAGGGAAGTGGAGTTTGCTGGTCAGCACGTCATGAGCAGGAACATTAGTTACCATGCGTGGATTTGAACAAATGCATGCATAAAAATGATCATGGCCTAGCTTAATTCAAATAGGATCAAACTCAAAATTAGGTACACAAATATTTAATACAAGAAAACAGAATAATACAATGTGAATCATATATCACAATTTGAAATTTAATATTTGTAAACAATTCATGCCATAGCATCTAACATTCCTTATAAGGTTATTTCACAGAGTTTTGCACCTAAACAAATATGATACCTGTAGCAGAGTTAAAAATTTGATAAATTTGTCCATAATTTGTTTGTTCTGGGTGAAATTCAATGACTAGCAAATGAGTCTTTTTAAATATTTCACCTCATATTCTTCACTGCAAAGTGGTTCATCCTTCACAGTTATTTCCGCTCCCTCATCTTCAGGTTCCTCTTTGATGTAAACTGTCATGATGGAGAGTAGGGATGAGCTGCTGCCCTCCATTGCTGGATGGAATGTACAAGAATTAACAGCATGATGATACTTGCAGGGAAGAATATTGACATTGCAATGGACTCCAACTACAACTATGAATAGTATTTTCTGTAGAATCTGTCGGGAGAACATTAACAGCAAGTCATCATCTCAAACTGGCTTTTCAACAATAACTGTCAAGATATTTGGTTCAACTATTGTGTGAACAATAAAAGAAAATTATACCTGTCAATGAAGTATAGCATCTTCCAGATCCACAAATAAAATAGACATTTAAGCACTACCATCAAACAGGGTAATAAGGAACGTGCGGGGTAAATCTGGAGTCCTCCGCCACAGTATAAAAATGATATAGCAGTGAAACTGATTTAAATATTGCTAAACTAAAGATAGTGGCATAAATTTCAACAATATTATTATCTATTTAGCATAAACAAAGTTCAGAAATCATACATTTACTAGCTCTAAAAAATCCCTAAAAAATTTTGAAAAGTGATATTTTGAAAAAGTACTTCTGCTAAGGTCTGTAGTAAAAAAATACTCACTATATTAAAAAAATTTTGCTTGAAAAAAAGTTGCAGACATGTATCAGCTTTAAAACTTCAAAGACAGAATTTGTATAATCCAAAACACAATGGCAGCCATTTCTGCACAATGGAGTACCTACCTATATAGAAGGGGTAATACTGGACACCCCTAAATATGCATTTTCAGTAGAACCTTGGTAAGCAAAGGCTCCAGTTAACAAAAAAATTGGTAAACAACAAAGAAATTTGATCACATTTACCTCACTCAGTAAAAAAAATTCACATGACAAAAAATTAATGCATCATCAGTCATCACAAAATTGTGCATATACCGGTAGGTAATGTCATAGATAGAACTGTGCACCAGGCAACATAGAATGAAAAGCAATTAACTTAAACAGGATAAACTAAGGTTTATTTCTTCAAAATATATGATGGTTGTCACTAAAATATTCCTTTTGGGCTCAAGCATGTTTTTTTATAATATTTTTTGTCACAGAGAATTCTCTTGACCCAAATAAAATGGTGCAAAATTATAAGCCCAGTCCTATATGCTTACATATACAGAATAATTGCTATAGCCTATAGGGCTGCTGATATGAAGCTTGCAGTGAACAAGGTCATTGTCAATTATCAATGGCATGTCCATGGATACGGTAATATCACATCAATAATACGGTAATGTATGGATATGGAGTAATATCATATCAATAAAGGAAAAACAAGTACCATCAAATGGGGTAATAAGGGAAGGGCAGGGTAAATCAGGACAGACCTCCATCAGTTTGCAGAAATGTAGCAGCTAAACTAATTGGAATATTGTAAAGCTAAAAATAGTGGCGTAAAGTTTTCCTGTTGGCTGTTGGCTGAACATTTTTCCTATCTATGTAGAATAAAGCAAGTTAAGAAATCTTACATTTACTACTTCTAAATAATCCCTGAAAAAAGTGTGAAAAGTGAGATTTTGGAAAAGTACCTCTGCTATAAATGGTTGTTTTCTGTAGCAAAAAAATATTCACCATATTAAAAAAATTTACATACAAAAAGTTGCACACAGGTGTTGGCTTAAAAACGTGGTTGAAGGAATTTGTGTAGCTCATTAAAAAAATTTGGGCCATTTCCCCAAGATGGGGTAATAAGGGACACTCCTAAAAATGCATTTACAGTAGAACTTTGATTAGCAAAGCCTTCACTTTCCAAAAAAATCAAGTAATAGCAAAGAATTTTGATTACATTAACCTCATGCAGTAAAAAATTCACTTAATGAAAAATTAATTCATTATTGTTCATCACAAAATTGTGCATAGAATGTAATTGATAGAATTTTTCACCAGGCAACATAAAATGAAAAGTAATTAACCTAAACTATGATTTATTTTAAGATGTCATATATATTTTATGCTACATTTACATCATCTACCAAGGAAGAAGAGAACTTTGGAGTACCACTCAGTACTGTTATCTGACATCTGTTAGTAATGGGAGAGTAGGTACCTACATTCTGCATGCACTGTGCATAGTATTGATGATAGTACACTCCCAGGGCTCTGCCTTCCAGTGGTAATTTCTAATTTTGGGTGCTTCTCTTTTGCAATTTTTTGTCAGGCATGAATAGCATCTGGAATTTTTTTGAGATGCCATACAATAGCCCTTGCAAAAGACCTTTAAAATGAGCCCAAACACGTTAATGAAATCTTTCAGGCTTCATGGTAAGAAGTTTTAAGTTATCAACAAAAAATGAAAAAAGCATCTCTAATAGTGGAAAAACAAACCTGGGGCACCCTGGCACCCATGGTGCAGAGGGTGGATGCAGCGTCGCCAATATATGGGTTTTTAAGCCCTAAGCGGCGCCGGGTAATTTTAAGATGCGTTGCCGGGTAATTTTTAATTAAAAGCCATTTATGCTGAGTAATGAAAAACTATTTACAAGCCACGAACTTATTTACAAGGTTGCATGCATGTGTTACCCCAAATAACTAATTTTACCCTAAAAACAGTCTGATTGTACAGCAAGTGTCAACTGAACATCTTGTAAATAAGTTTGTGGCTTATAAATAGTTTTTCATTACTCAGCATAAATGGCTTTTCATTAAAAATTACCTGGCGACGCATTTTGAAAATGTTCGGTGACGCTTTGGTTAAAAACCCATACATTGGCGACGCTGCTCACCTTCTGCACCCTGGAATTCACTTGACCCAATTAAAATGGTATGAAATTACAATCTGTCCTGTAACTTGTCAGCTTACCATGGTGCAGAGGGTGGATGCAGCATCGCCAATATATGGGTTTTTAATCCCTAAGCATCGCCGGGTAATTTTAAGATGCGTCGCCAGGTAATTTTCAATTAAAAGCCATTTATGCTGAGTAATGAAAAACTATTTACAAGCCACGAACTTATTTACGAGGTTGCATGCATGTGTTACCCCAAATAACTAATTTTACCCTAAAAACAGTCTGATTGTACAGCAAGTGTCAACTGAACATGTGATAATGCAGTGTGACCGCTCTAATGTGACTGCAACTACCTACGTAATCGTAAAGTTGATGTTTAAATTTTTTTGGTGGGAACTCATCGCTACTGATTTCCAGACAAGCTTCACTGATCAATCCAACATACTGGAAACCTTACTTTTTTTAAATAGTTGGCCGAAGACTGACAAATATATTAAATGAAAGAATTTCAATCTAAATGTGTGGGCAAGATCTTCTGAAGGCATAAATTTTGCTACTGAAGCATAGCCAAAGATCTTGCAATATTCATCCACTCTCTGCACAGTGGCCTGGCATCTGAACTGAATTGAGCAACACAAATAATAAAAGATGAAAAAAAAAACACATAAAAAAGGTAAAGATTGAAAGAAGAGATGACTGGAATAGAGAACATGGTTTATTTTTGTTTATGATGATGATGATAGCAATTACCATTAGCTCGTATGTATCTAAGTAGAGAATAGACTTAGGGGATACAAAATTGAGGGTTGGCATCATATGTCTCCACATTGACAGTGTCTCATTCAATTCCCAGCCCAGTTAGTTGCAGTAGCTATGCCCTAGAGTCTATACTGTGACTCACATGAGTTTGTATAAGTTACTGAAGGTCTAAAATTTATTTAACTATACAGCTTCTTCTTCTTTTCGGGGTGTCTACACTGGGTAGACTTAAAGCCACAGGTCGACCTCTTTTTTTTTTTTTTTTTTTTTCAAATTTGCAGGGGCCTCTGAAGACCAGTCCAATGCGGCCCCACGACAGAGTTTTGAGTTATAATTGTTAATCACTTTAATTAATCACTTCAATCACTTTAACTAATCACTTCAATCACTTTAATTAATCACTTCAATCACTTTAATTAATCACTTCAATCACTTTAACTACTTCAATTAATTGGCTCTTTATCATTAATCATTAAAATCCTGCCTAACTCAATCTGCCTGCCTAATTCGAACTCTCCCTAGCACCTGTTGAAGAGAACACTCCACGGCGGAGCCGCGGAACACGGCAGGGTCGTGGAACACGGCAGAGCCGCGGAACACAAGCAGAGCCGCGAAACCCGACAGAGCCGTGAAACCCGGCAGAGCCGCCAAACACAGCAGGGCTGATCTTTTGTAATAATAAAGATCTTTTGTAATAATAATATTATTCATGAAATCAAGGGTTTCAGGCAATGTCTTAATACTAAATTACGTAACATGAAGGAAAAAAAAATAAAAAATAAAAATAAAAAATAAAACAGGAAGGAATCAACAGTAAGAAAGTAAATGAATAAAATAAAATTCCCAGCCCAGTTAGTTGCAATATCCATGCCCTGAACTGAGCCTCACATGAGTATGCACAAGTTACTGAAGGTCCAGCCTGGGGGGGTCTACGCCGCTTATGGCGCCGCATCATTGTAATTAGGAGCTCGAGCTCTGAGGCTCAACTTCTCCTCCACTCACACGTGACTTACCTATTTATAATACTGATAAATATATGTGAGATACGATTTCGGCTAATATCTAGGTGGACACAAATCTATCTAGTCGATTGTTCAATGTTCACAGGCACACGACCTTTTTCGATTTCCCTTTCAGCCATGTTGCCCAGGTCGACCTCGAGGACGGCCGTTGGTAACTATACAACTTCCGCTGTAAATAATACTTCCGAGAAGTTCGTACGCTCTGCCGGAAATTTTATCGGATCACGTTGGTCGCATTTAATCGAATTAAGTAATCTCTGTTTATGCATTTTTCTGGCATTCAATCCGAATGAATAGTCTTGATTAATTACGAAAAATCCGACATTTATGAGAGCATGTGCACGCAGAAGCTCATCGGATAAGTATTAATTGAGGCGCGCGGCAAGCAAATGCTTGGAAATATTTCTTCATTTAGATATATTTTTCAGGCTTCGGGTGTGCAGATAACAAACCTCAAACCCTGAGCACAACTAGCATTTTGGTTGATGCACTTCGCTTCACTTTAAGCTACCTTGCTTCTCTTTCCCTTTACATTGAAATCCAACACTTCCACCCGATGGTGAGGCACTACCTGGTTAAAAGAAAACAGTAGAATCAAGCTCTGAAGCACATTGACAATCTGGTCACCATTTTGCACCTCGGCAAATATTGACTCGGCAAATATATAAAATATATGAAAGGAGGAAGATGGCAGAGACGAGACTAGAGATTTGGGGAACTATATTCGGTGGAATCTGGTATACAACTGAAGAATAAAGGCTTGCTGGCATTACACTGACATACTATTGACAATATAGTAGTTCTATATGCATTTGATCGTAATACGGAAACACGTAACAGGATGGATCATCTCCTGCGAAGTTATAATTAATGTTTGTGGATCGATCATTCGCCGTTCAACATTAAAAAGTGAAATGATGGTGTTATTTAATTTAATTTTAAATTATGGTGTTTTAATTTAACGTTAACGTTAGTTCTCATGGAGAATTTTGCGGTTTTCAGGAGCATTGGACACATGACCGGTCTTGCCGCAGGTCATGCGACGCTGTTGCTCCGCTCCCACACCAAAGACTGCGTCGTCGTCCCAGATAATAACAATAATAAATTAATAAACAACATAACATACATTATGGTGAGTATATCTTAGTTTTGAAGATCAGACTTGTTGATATTTGAGCCTCTATTAAATAGTCCTTATAATATAATATATAATTATAATTCGGTAAGTAAAAATCTATCGTTTTTTAATAAGGCAAACTAAAACGATAGAACTCAGGCAAATCCTATGGCAAAATGTGCGGCCTGTGCTCCTGCCTGACGCAGTTATGCAGCGCTGTTGCCACCTGGTCGTTAGCGGCGGACTAAACCCAGCCCAAGTTACCCGTTGAAATGAACCATGTGGGCACCGTTGCCGGGGTCATATTTTCTGAACCATTTCTCCGTACTACAATAGTGTACGGTGAATTATCATAGTAAGCATAGTTCATGGTTATGAATGAGTATGAGGTAAACTTGATGAACAAATTGTTGATATGAACAACACTTGAGGCACGAGGATGTACGGTAGGTGGTGAACAGGGGTGATTGTTTTTAGCGAGGGGATCTCAAGTTATTGTCGGTCACGATAACAACTTGAGATTTTAATTATATAAAGATCAATAAAATTAGTATAATATAATATAAGTTTATACGTGATGTTATACTATATACATTTATTCATTTTAACTATTATTAAGTCATAATTGTTTCGTCAAACTACCTCTAAATAATTATGTTTTTCTTCGCTACACATTCGTTTCACTTCAACTCCATTTGAAATGTTTCTAGTATAACCACAAATTGTTCATAATATCAGCGTAATAATAAAGTGCTGTCATCTTTTAACACGCCACGTTGGCCTGAAGCAGATTCTTAACCACCCGGCCACCTCGCCGATTTCGACCGGTATTTTCACATCCAGATTCAAACCCCCAACTCGATGCTGCAATGTTTTCCCACTCGGCCACCCGGCGCTCGGGTCGAAATATTCTCAGCCATATACGCGTCTTGTTAGCTTATATGCAGTCAACGATAAAAATGTTTTATTCTCAGCGATATACGCGTCTTGTTAGCTTATATGCAGTCAACGATAAAAATGTTTTATTCGAGCGTTTTTTGCTCGCTTAAATTGATTAATATAACGTCATATGCTACAGATGCAAAATACACCCAGAGAAAAATGATAGAAAATTGTCCAAATATCGCTGCATAGAATATCATTTTTCAAATAACGATTTTTCTTTACTAGAAAAATAAATTATTTTTACTTCTCATCAGGCAACAGCTCAGGCATATAAAAAAATTAGATGGTTAGTATATTTCTTGATCAATTAGTTATTATTATACACCGAATTAAATATTGAGAACAATAAGAATGAGCGAAAAACCACCAACCAACAACAGCAAAACAACCACCACCACGACAGTCAGGCAGGACCCCCCGCCTCAAGCTCGGTCGGTATCACAGCTACGCGAGGCTGCGCTGTTCAACAGCAACGCATAACTGCGCCCGACCTGCAGCGCCTGACGCGTACAACATTGAGTGCTGTTAGTTTTTTAACTATTAATTTCTTTAGAAATTATTTCCCTAATACTGCATTGAGCTCCAAAATCAAGCAATTCGTAAGTAAAACCATTAATATCACAATTGATGGGAACGGCTCCTTCTGAACTTTAAAAAATATACAAATTGGGTAACATGGGGCAGCGAGCCCACTGCAAGTCACGGGCCCATAGCGGGTTTCTCGCTAAGTATGGCAGATATTGGTCCGTGTTCTCTACCGCCGGGCGACAGTTTCTCTGGGATGAAGTGTACGGATTTACGTTTTGCTAAGTATTTGCGTTATTAAGTTATTTGTGAATAACTGTTTTAGTCCAGATAAAAATTTTTTGCTGCTAAATAAAATTTTTTCGATTACTGTTGATGAAGCTTTGAAATTACTGTGAATTATATTTTCAAAGTAATATTTATAGAGATAATTTTGAGATCAAGTTTAGACTATTAGCTTTCAAAATAAAATGTTGACACGATATAAATTGGAATGATACCTAGTGGGACAACGGGCCCACGCGTGTCACGGGGGCAAAACGCCCATGGTGAAGTCTCGTGTTATACATCATTAGATTTGTCTCAATGACCTTTTCAAACGATGACTAGCTTTTTGAATTACAAATTACACTTCATATTGCATGATTTTTGATTTGCCGCCTCAAGGCAGCAGGTTTAGTTTCTAAATATGCTTATTTATGACCCCTTATCGAGTTATTGACTCTTGCCTTGCCAAAAATTTATTTCAGCCAACACAAATGAGCCAAAAATTGATGAGTTTTTATGGTGTTGGCTGAAATCACGATTAGGTGCGAATTCTCTGCACATAATATCTGGATTATGGACGAAACTGGAACAAATTGTTTTTCTGATCAACTAAATATATTTTTTCTAGTCAAGGATACATTTTTTCATGTTTAGGACGAATTTTTTAGCGCAAAAATATATTTTTCAAGTCAAGGATATATATTTTTATGTCAATGAAAATTTTCCTTCACGTCAGTGATAGATTTTTTTAAGTCAAGAGTATATTTTTTTCAAGTTAAGTATATGATTTTTTGAGTTGTTAATAAATGAGTGAATGTCATATTTTTTATTACATTTTCTTATTTTTAACAGTAAAGTGTTCATTTTTAAACGAAAAATATGCATTTGTGGTAAAGGGACCAAGTGTGGGCGCCTTGCCCTAAGCCAATGTAAACAAAACAAAGAACCACCTCGTATCAATTAGAACTTCATCAAAAATTTAGTTTAAAAAAAGGGGGGGGGGCGTGCTGCCCCATGTTGCCCTACATTCGTTCCACCTTACTTAGGGGAAATTTTCATTGCTCCCCAGCCACCAATATGTCTTCACATTTATGAGCCTTGTCATGTAATATTTCCTGAGAGACGAGTACAATGTTTAGAGCACAAGCACCACTAACATTAGGCACAATTAAAAACTTCAAGTATCATCTACGCGTCACTGTAGCGCATTGGTTATAGGGCCGCTGTATGCGCAGTGACGACGGTAGAGCGGCACCGAGGTGGAGGAGCTAGGCGTGGGTTCGAGCCCCGGGAATTAGTTCAGTTAAAGTCTCGGTGTCGCTAGTAGACGGCGCATAGTCGCCGTCAAAAGGTGGTGCTTTCAGCATGGCCTTGGGTGTGTGTCCCTAAACACTCTGGGTATGTTAAGTAAATACCTCGTAGTGCAAGGGAAGCTTGCAAATACTTGAGTCCCCCCAAGATATTTATTCTCTTCACTGCAATCATCGAGACACGTCATGATCTGTTATAATTAAATCATCACTTAATATATAATAAAAGCTTCGCTGTATTGGTCACACAAGACTTAAAAAAAGACATATGAAGAATGGAATCAAACTACTGATAAAAAATAAACATGTAAAACGTATCCTTTGTTAGGCGTGTGGAACTCGTGTGGCACTTTAACACAGTTAATCATTACCATATCTGTGTCTCGGTGCTGTGGTAAGCAGTTCACGAAATGCATACATACTGTCATCACTGAAGCAGAAAGTTCATTCAAAGCCTTTGCATCAATGTGCATTTGATGAATAAAAAAAAATAATTCAAAATATTAAATTTGCATTTTCTTAAACATCATTGATAAAACATATTATTTCCATGATACTTAAATTTATTTTTAACCATAATGTATGATTTTAACCTCTGGTATTCACCCGTTAGATAAGATAACTTCGTCATTTGTTCATAATTTTCTATCTATTAAATATTGTATGGAAAACGCACTAAATGTACGATTACGCTTCAAGATAAATAATTTAAATTCGTTACTCCATCGTATTACAATGAAATTTTTTCATATTAATAACGCATATTTAGGGAAAATGCTCAGGGTGAGATTGAAAATGTAGATTAAATATTTTAACAAATTTTCATTGTTATTTATTTTTTGTTATTTGTATAGAATAAGCATTAAAAATTAAATTTCATACAACTCGAACAAATATTTTTTGTCAAAAGAAGATTATCATCTTCTGCTAATCACGTTTACCAAACTAAATCAAGTAGGCTGACTTACAATTGTTTTTGAGACTCAGCAGGGTCTATAATGAAAATGAAACTTATAGATGTGTTATTATCTGCATTTCAAGACTGTATTTTTAATGAGGCCCGCAAAAATTGATTTGAGCGAATTTTCAAATATTGCCATTTAAAATCAGCCTCTGACGCCGTTAGCGTGGAAAAACAGTAAATTTCACGAGCTAATTTGAGTACACGCAGCCCGTGCGACGTTTCATTGTAGTCTGATTATTTGATTATTTTAGTATACAGTCGCAAACTAATTTCTTCCAGTTCCAATTCATTTACAGTTAAATCATATCGATACTCTCGTCATTTTGGGGTAAAAATCACGATTTTTAGGGTAAGGAAACAAACTAAATGTGACTGATCTTAGTAAATGTTTGGGCTTGGCATGAGCGACATAATCAATTGGCTGCAATAATTTTGTAATTTCACCTGCCCATGCTCATCAAGCTCGCTGGTATTTCTCTGCTCCATTCGTCACTTTACATTACTTACACATTTTGCTTCCTTGTAATTAAATTAATAATAGCCAACTGAAATATATTATATATACGGGGTACCCCAGCGTGTACCGCAATATTAATTGATAAGCCAGGTTTGTTCATATGTTCTTTATTCGTACGTTGTTCACATGTTTTATATTCGTACATTGTTCATAGGTTATTTATTCTTACTTTGTTCATATGTTATTTATTCGTACGTTTTTCATACGTTCTTTATTCGTACGTTGTTCATATGTTCTTTATTCGTACGTTATTCACATGTTTTATATTCGTACATTGTTCATAGGTTATTTATTCGTACGCTGTAATCATGTTCTTTATCCGAATGTTGTTCATATGTGCTTTATTCGTACGCTGTAATCATGTTCTTTATCCGTACGTTGTTCATATGTGCTTTATTCGTACGCTGTTATCATGTTCTTTATCCGTGCGTTGTTCATATGTGCTTTATTCGTACGCTGTTATCATGTTCTTTATCCGTACGTTGTTCACATGTTCTTCCTTCGTACGTTGTTTGCATATTCTTTATTCGTGCGTCGTTCACATGTTTTTATTCATAGGTACGTCTTAGTGAAGAAGCAAATCACTAAGAAATCCCATCGAAAAAGGCTATTTTACTTATTTAATTACATATTATATCTGCATTTATTTTATATATTACTTTATTTGTTTATTTACTCATTTATTTGCTTACAAATTTTAGGCTGCTGCGGTTGTTCTTCTGTCCCGCTTGTTGCTCTCGCACGGCAGCAAAAAGCTTTGTTTGCCAACAGCGCTGCGTAACTGCCAGCGACTGAGCGGTACAAGACTAATGGACCATCAAATGATTATAGTTTCTTCAACAATGCCTTTCAATAACATTTTTTTAACAATGTCTGTCAAATGCATGAGCAAGAACTTTCGTTCCGCAAGGTTATTGGCAAAAATTTGGCTGACTATTAAACTAAACCCAGGCTTGAATTTGTTCAGCTTCCATTCAACTATGCACGCGTACTTTTTACAAACCTAAGAACGTAATTTTCATAATTATAACTTTATGACGCCAGGGCTATGAGGAAGAAGTCGCTACTGCGACGTGCATCGCGACAGTCAAGGTCATATAATTCTACTTGAGTTACTCCGCCATACGTTTTCTCTGAATTACATATACTTCAATTTCTTAAATCTTTCTTTATAATGATAGCTTCATATTCCTGGACACTTGCAGTGTACGAATGAAGCTATAATACCAAGAATATGTCAAAAGTTGGGCTTTTGAATAAGAAGGAACACACGGAATTCATTCATCACACATATACACTAAATAAACTACATAGCTACAGCCATGAATGTTCACTTGAGAGAATTCAGTTATACATTTCCTCCTCAAAATATCTGTAAATTTCATTTCCTTATTCTCCAATCATCTTCGTCGTAATATCTTCTATTCCATTTGAACTTATGAATTCTTGTATAATGCAGTCCTGGTTTGCAGAGAACATTGATTCACGACGCCGCTATGTTGATGTTTTTACATTAGTTTCCCGTAAAATAAAGTATTCATAATTTCGCTAAAATATTGATTTAGGTAGAATTCAATGAAAATATTCTGTGAATATCGGATATATACACGCTTTCATTTTCAAACATTGTGGTAATTTTATTCAAAACTGATCAACTTTTGAGGAAATGGCCATGTTATAATTATTTACGAAAATGATTTAAATTTGTTAGCTCGACCTTATTAGGAAACTCCAGCACTTACCCAAATTTGATCTACTTTTATGACTCACTTGCATATTTTGTGACTCGTCATGAGTATATTACGCGAATAATTCAGTATCGTTGATCGTTTAAGTCGTGGCCTTCCAGCCCGAGTTTCCTGCACGGTAAGTGGGGCCAGTCGGACATTATGTCGTGATGACGCGATCCCCAGTCAAAATTAGAAGCAGTGTAGGAGCTGGGCCGGCGCTGAACCAAGAGCACGATAGAAGCATCAGGGAAGCAGGAAACTAGCAAGGATGTCCGCTTATTAAGGTGTTCAAAACGTTCTGCGTAAGGCCTTATTTGGGCGCTGGCGCTCGGCTGCAACGAATCAATCCTGCCGGGCTCCGGCTCACTTACTGCCGATACGCCCCAATCGCTGCCCTATACCTGCTATCTTCAGGCTTATTTCATTTTCTTTCGGGGATAACTAAAGAATTCTGTCCACGCAATTAAACGTTTATTATTAATTTTTAACACATTTACATCACCTATGCAAAAAAAATATGGATAGGTAGAAACGCCGCTTAGAGTATGATATGCTAAGGGCTTTATCATTCATACTCTCAATAATAATAAATAACACATTTATGAACATTATTCTATATTCTGGTACAACTATTTCTGACAAAAACTCAGCAACATGCTAAGACACTGAATATACACACATCAATAATGCTAAGGACAGAGCAAAGCGTAAAAATAGGATAAACATAAATAATGCAGAAGTCTTCAATCATAAGTCATATAAACGAGATTAAACGATGGGTTATCTCCTTCCTTAACCACAAAATTCACAAATCCCCATTAACCGAACCCGAAGTAGTGAAAATCATATTATATTTCGATGCAAGAAAGGAAAATTATTCCATTCAAATCGAAACGTATACGAGGAACTAATATCAACCTAAGTTCAGCGTTACCTCACCCGTCCTATCTGTTAAGGTAATACGTTTCAACAGCTTCAAATTAATTTCTGAATCAAGATAAGAATGGGCTATGGCCGATTTTCATTTGGCATTTTTATCAACACATTAATTGTAAATCGAGAAATCCTCATAAAAATCGATGAGGTAAAGCGTTGATTAAAAAACACATTTGATAAAATAAATATATAAATTTGATGGTTAAATTCATACTCGATTATTAATCTAATACCAAAGAATGCAGCATGAGCTATCACGTTTACTAGACACTACATTCAACAAACGAGAAGAACTGATGCAAGCCACTTTATCTCGACATTGGAAATTTTTTTTAAAATACGAAATACAGGTATTTACAACAGCTGAGTGCTATTTCACCGATTTAAAATTTATCATTATCTTGCACCACGTGCCAGCAATGCGTAATTGGATACCATTTAATTATTTCCAGCTTGGTGACGAGACGACACTTCTGAACAATATATTTCACCCCATGCCAGCAATTTGTAATTGAATACAATGCAATTTATCAACAGAACTACAATTCTACAGTCACCGTATGCCAACTAGGCCCCGTAGTTTTCAAAATAAACCAACATTTTTCATACATGTTCATGATGTTCTTCAAGGTATCGTCTATTCATGGTTGCGATAATGCTGTCAGTGTTGTACGAGGTTGTCACGCATGCACGCACAGCGGTGCCTCTGGAGGCAGACGTAGAAGAGTAGCCACAGGGAAGGGGTGGTGGATGAGTTCGACGCCAGTTAGGTCGCCCCAGTCCACGGGGCTATCTCACCGAGAAGAGGAGGGCCGTTGGGGAGGAAAGGCAGGCCCAGATTATCCACAGTTGTGCTGTCAAAAAGGCCTGCAAGACAGAAACACTGATAAAAATAAGCAACAATATAGCAAGGAGCATAAGATGAGTTGAAACCAGCGAAACTCCATAAACAAAAAATTGAACTTGTTGAACTACTAAGGTACAAGCAAATGAAACTTTCTGTCTTAACACATTTCCGTCCTTTACATTCCATGTACACAGAAAAAAAAATTTAGGATGAAATATTGTAAATTTCAATCTTGTTTTGATGCAATTTTCTTCTTTATTACTTCATGTAAAATAAAAAATTGTTACTCATTGCATTTATCAATCAGATGAATTATTAGAATCAAACCTGAAAATCAAGCAATAATTATGAATGAACAGAATGAATTTCAAACTTCAAGAAAGACCCATCAATTATTACAATGTAGTGTAGGTACTTACTCGCCTGGACAACAGCTGACAATTCTAACGATGGGTTGCTGCAGCCTCCAGTCCAGCTTCAACGTGGGGCTGCTCCCACAAGGTCATAATATGGCCTTCTGCCTCACGCAGCTCTGAAATGCCATCCAAAATTAACAACAAGAATTGGATCAACACAATAGCCATCAGTGCTTGGAATTTAGAAACTATAGGAACATTCAAACGAAATTCATTAAACTGAAGCACATAATATGAATTTTAATAAATTGATGCCAACAAGTTTCAGCACTGCACAGAGGCCATTTAACAAAATAAGAGGAATTAGTTACGTGACAAAAAATAAAAATTGTTACAAATTTTTTCTTAATTATGTCATTGATACTACCAGGGTTTCAAGTGCCAATATGCAAGCCTGCACAGAATTTGCATTTTATTAAAATAAATATTCTTCGAATGGAATTGTCAATATTTAATAGGGTAACAAATCAAGAGAGTCTGCAAATAATATTGAATCAGACTTCACAAAGATCATCAATCACCAATGATATATCATGTCAAAGCTAAACACATTGCACGATTTGAAACCAGCATATTCATATTGGATACTTCACTAATATTTTTAAATCCACAACACAATCACATTTCAAAACAAATTATTCCATTACTGCGTTGTTTTACTGAAAAATTGTGTCATCAGATTGCTACATTATGATAGGAAATTATTTAGAAGTTTTTTTTTGTTTAAAATTCACGCTTTACCTTAGTACACAGCAATTCATTAGACTTTGTAGCGAGGCCTGGCTTGAATATCTGCGGGAATTCTGCATTGCTGCGTTGAGCTTCCTTGGACGCTTCACGCTTCCCCAACTGGCAGCCAGGAACTAGAAATTTGAAAAAAATTAGGTGAAGTAATACTGCAGTTATTCTCATAATAATTGAAAACAATTACTGTTCTCAGCACAGAAATAAATCCCAAATAATAGTTTAAATTTCTGTCCCAATTAATATCTGCAGACTGCAGGCTGAACTTCAAGTACCTACTAAGTAGCTCAGCAAACTATAGGCCTAGGTAGCTTTAACAATGTCAATCTCAGTCATTTCCAGTGTAAGCAATGTGACTGAGGGACATTTGTTGAAATAGATTCAATTTACCTGAACACAAATAAAAATATAAACTGGCGGCATCTTATTTTATGTTTAGCTAAGCATTTGCTTCTGAATGGCTGAGATTTTCAATATGAAACTAGCTAGTTAGGAGTGCATATGATAGGATTGGACAGGTGGTGTCACGGTGGTACACTAAGTTATGATATTTTACTAACACATACGCTAGTTATAGGACCAACCGCCACACTAAGTTATGATATGATACCAACACATTGGCTAGTTTGCTTTTACGGCTCTAGATTATCAATAATAAAATTCTCTCGCTTAGACGATGAATGTGAAATGTAATCTGTTGAAGATTCTTGGCGTTGCATTCGACTGTGCTTCACAATAGAAACATTTAATTATGTCAAGCAAATAATGAAAAGACTAATCTAACAATATGAAGTTAGGAGTAAAACTTAGGAAAATATAACGGCATGAATACAAATAAAATCCAATAATTACAGTTTTGCCTACAACTAAAAACAACACGAGATCTTTCCTGCAGTTCATTACACGCAGGGGAATGATGAGACTTTGTCCAAATAGCGATGCCTTTTTTGCCCATTTGTGGGTCATTGTGACAGAGTTTGGTCCAGCAAGAGGGCGCATCAGTGCTACTTGCTGAAAGTGTGTCTCTATTTGGGCAATCTGAGCCATCCATTATTTTGAGTGTACCATGCTTGCCTATATGAACGCCGAACTTGAGAGATACCGCAATGGTCATCGTTCCTCTGATGCAGATAGGTTGCACTCTAGCATCTGAACAAATGCAACTAGTTTAGTTAAAAATGTTTCTTCGATTATACCTCTAATTTAAAAAAGTATCAATTATTCATTTATGAAATAAATATTAGTTTAATGTCTTTTTTCAGAGTAGTTCAATGTAGGCTGATTTTACATGATCTCTATTCCTTGAATTATTTTTATATTCGCTTGCAAAATGATTAATCTAGCAAAAATTTAGAGCATTCATTTACGGATACGTTAACCGTCGTAGATGATATTCGGATCTAAATTAAGGCCTCGTAACGCGAGTTACAAATTGGTAGATGAAGGGTTTAAAAAAAATTGAAATTGGAAAAAAGAATGAATTTTCGCAGTGTCGTGAGGGAAATAGAATGTTGTCTGAATAATTATCGATATCCTACCAATGCCGAAGCACATTCTGTTGATATTTTGATGGAATCCGTAGCGAATTGAAACTTCTGAACTTCGCTATCGATTCCTCTATAAGTTCGAAAATTATATCGGGGCAGCTGCTCCTGTCAATTCTGACCCGGTTCAATCGCAGCCATGATATGTGAAAATAAAAAAATATAACTCAGTACCTACTGCAGTGAGTGACAGAGAGTGCATTTTCTCGGTGACGAAAAAGTGAAGTCGGACGGACGGACGGCAGACGGACGGACGGACATGACGAGCACAACAGCGCCTTTTTTTCCATAAATGAGAAAATGCGCTGAAAAATTCGGCATTCGTCATAAAATCGCCATGAAATTACAACGAGCACTATGTGCTGAATTCACATTAAGCTTATATGCATTTCATGGTACTTATATTAGAAGTTCAAGATACAGAGAAACGGGAGCTCAAACTTTGACAAATATCAATGAATGATTCTACTAATAAGCGCCTGGGTACTAAGTTACTAAGCATAATATAATGATTCAGTTATTTTTCATGACTTCCTTGTTTCGTCGGCCAAATAACCTAATTTTTTACAGAATTTACATTAAATCTCATTTTACATTAAATTTGACAAGTTATCATTCATTGTGACATTTTGTTCTGTTATTTTATATTGGTTCATTTTGGGGTTCTTGGCACGATAGTTAATCTGATCAATTTATTTCCATCCTTAAAATTACGAAACCGTCCTTGCCCGCAGCAAAGTTTGTTTTCTTATATATATCACTAGATATATAATATATTGTTTCGAAAAATGTAACTAAATTTTTGAAAAGTTAAAAAAAACACCGAGGATGATTGATGAGCTACAACCAGAATAATATTTATTCTATAGCAATATAAATAACATCTCGGAAAATGTTTCCTCATCTTTCATCTCAATAAATAACGTAAATCTATTTCGAACGGTTAAAATGGCTTACAGCTTTCAATAATTTCTTTGAATAGGAAAAATCCTACTCAGTGAGACGAGACATTGTATCAAACTCACTAATAGCCTAGACTTTAAACGTGTCAAGTAACCTTGATTATATACGTCAAGTTTTCCGCGCAGCAGTCGGAGTCTATGCGTTGCGGCGACGACGTTCAAGCCTGCCAAGACCTGGTCACAAGAGCCGTATACGTACCGCCTGGAGCCGGTGCCTGTTAGGGCCGGCTATTAGACCTGTCTGTGATGCTGAACATCGCAGAATTTTCACAGCTTGTTTCGGGTTTCGAACATGCAACTTACTGCTCCATCAATTTTGTTGGGCCTGCCCTCCTCCCCCCTCCCTTCCGGTCCCCTCAGCCGATTTCGAACATATGTGTCACAACATATGTGTCACGCCAAGATAGATTCATACGATATAATCTATCTTATATCCAATGACGATTTCTAGCGAATAAAAACTTTAAGCGTTGTTAAGAATTGTTTGAGAACGTCACATCTTCATGTGCGCAGTTTTTTCTTTTAAAAATCTTATAAGAATAAATATTTACTTTAATTACCTAAAATCTTTAATGGTTGCTCCTAAGCCACCATCTGACTGTCCTGCAGGCCTCCAGCAGGAGTCCAGGGGCAGCAGGCTGATGTCGACGGCGTCGTGGGCGGCGAGGCGGGACATAAGCTCAGGCAGCCGCCTTGTGGGGCGAGTGTGGTTGGTCACAAGAAGGTGGCTGTCCACGGCTTGATGAGGGATGCGACAGTTTGCTCTCCTTCATCATTGTTAGTGACTGTCCAGGGCTTACCACGCAGCTTGAGCCCGTCAGCTGCAAATCAGAATGTATCTTATCCCAAAGTATCTTAAGTGTCTCAAATAACATAATTGGACCATTATTTATATTGATAAAAAAGTATTTGAAGGAATCTTTTTCAACTTTTTTTCTTTCTCAGCCCTAATCGACTCTTTAAAACATTTTCTCAACCGGACACAAATTTGCGACACAAAACTCTGGACTGAAGGAATTAATTAAATAATCTTTGTGCAAGCTCTACATATTCTTCAATTATGTTCAGGTAAAATGGATTGTTGAGGTACATCATAACATTGAACATCAGGAAAAAGTTCGTTTATGCCAAAAGAGCAGAATAAATATGGTAGTCATCCAATTCGTAACATATTCTAAGAAAATCGTCTACACGTTGCTTTCGTATCGTCTGCCATCGTCTTCAGCCACATTCATTGCATCGCAATCTTGCCGACGAGAGCAGCACAGTAGCGTTTATATTGCTGATGAATTGAGTATAACAGCTACAGCCTCTACGTGCATCGCAATTAAAATTATATCACTTCCAAGTTGATAAATGCAAGTAGAAGTTATTTTCGACCAAACTACCTTACGAATACCAGTGTAAAATGCAAATAACCATTTTTCTGAAATTGCTGCTTTCATTCATGATCTGCGACACCAAGAAATTCCTTTATTTATATTCGAAAATTTGACTAAAATTAATTTGGCCTGACCTCTCTGGGGAAACTTCTGACACGAGTCTGTGCTCGTCAGAAGTCCTATGGGATTTCACGCTCCTAGGGGGATTGTTCCTGAGCGCCCCACCGCTGAGCTCGCGGTGTCTGACTGCGGGTCTCAGTTGTGGGGGTAAGTTATTATGTAAGTAGGATTCCTTACATTAAGTTATTATGTAGTTAGGATTCCTTACATTAAGTTATTATGTAGGCAGGATTCCTTACATTAAGTTATTATGTAGGTAGGATTCCTTACATTNTAGGTAGGATTCCTTACATTAAGTTATTATGTAGGCAGGATTCCTTACATTAAGTTACTATGTAGGCAGGATTCCTTACATTTCCCTTCTCTGTCTCTCTCGTGCGGGCGACAGACGTCCCGTGTAAACGACCTCTTGTTCGAGTGTCTTCGTTTCCGATGCTTTTCACCTGTCCCTCCTTGTCACTTCGTCTCTTTGAGATGTTAACGTTGCTTCCTTTGGGCCAGCTTCAGCGGGCCGTACAGTTGAAACCTTCCGCCCCTTGTGGGTGATGAACAATTTTTAACTTGAGAAACTTTCGATAACTGAGACCTTCCACCTCTTCGGTGATGTTCATCTTGACTTTCGGTGCGAGATAGCTGAAGCGCTGAAGCTATCTAATAGCTGAAACGCTAGTAAACATTTGGCCGCTAAACTAACTAACTATATGGCCTGAGCTGATGGGATAAGCCTATTATTAGGATCAAACCAGAGTATTGTGAACTCAGTGTCGATTAATTTGATCAAAGTCAATCCTGTGTTTCGAGCATGAACGGTTCAACATGATCAACTCACCAAGACCATCATATAGGAACGATATCAGTAGCCATTCTCAACCGATTCTTTGAATATTAATTATAATTCACGAATTCGATATAGAATACTAAATTTTTATATATTAGTTTTAACTCACCAGAGTATCGAATGCCCGCGAAAATTTAGGGCAATCAGGGTTTTTGTTCATCCATTAAAGCTAAGTTTAATAACAGATAATGCCAATAGGTGACTTACAAACTTATAATCGGCAACCACTGCCTTGGAGACG